ACCCTATCCAGTGGTCAGGCATGAAAGTGGAAGACCCAAAGACATAAAATTATTCTTGGTACAGTCCATCCATGTCCTCGGGAGCCAGCACAGTCTTGAGCTCTAGCCCAGCCCTGCCTAGGCATAGGGGTTACAGCTGCTGAGTTAGTTAGAGATATTACAGGCTGTGAGACAGGGCTGGGTCCCCCAGGAGCCAGTACATAATCCCAGAAACCTTACAAGTGTAGGGGAGACAGAACCCTATTGTGGGCCTGCCTCAAGACAAAAGATCAAACAAATGCACCCATACCCTAAGGATTGGGATTCCATATAGGTCTCTATCACCCTGAGGAAGTCAGGAGTCACTATTCCAACCCCTACACAAGAATCACTGCTCCATAAGCATATCCACTTTCCACATGACTTACTTCCCCACTTGTCCCCTATTTAATCACTTTTACCTGAACAATTAATCTTATTGGCTAACTATAGTTCTGTCCTACCTTATGCCCACCTTTTGAGTTCCCTTTTTCCCCACTTTGAACCCATCTCACTCCATGATTTTACTCTATAAAAGTCTCTAGAAAAGACAGAGTCCCTAGCAACCTGCTTGGGACCCCTTCTATCTCTCTCAGACAGAGGCTTTCTTTCTCTCAATAAATATATTCTGCTCTTAACCTCTGTTGTTCCTAAAATTCATTCTTCAATTTTAGAGAACATGAACTCGTACCTGATAAAGTAGGTTGGGAGTTTTGTTTCCCTATATCACAAGGGGTCTTGGGGGCAATGCTCTGGGCTTCAGTAGTTCTGCTTGTAAAGGGAGGTAATTATATCTCCTTGGACTGTGCATGGTTGCATACGAAATAGACTGATGGATATCAGGCTTCGTCTATGAACTCCCCAGCCCCAGTGAATCCTCCTCCTTCATATATTGTGTCTGATTTACCATCCATCTTACTGAGAAATACTCAGTTCCAGGGAATTACTGTCTTTTAAACAGTGGTTCAGAGGACAGTTTAGAATACCATCAGAACACTGTCCTTAAACTGAATTGAATTTGAATTTGAATAAGAACGCTCTGTGTTTTACACTTCATTTACTTTGAATACTTTATAGATAACACAGGGGTTAATCTTTAGATTGCCCATGGAGAAAAAAGATTTCCAGGAAACAATAGCAATACAAATAAAATGGGATGAGGAATATTTTACCAACTTAATAAAGTGAGCTTTTTTTCACAGAAAATAGTCCTAAATTACATATAATTACAGTACTAAAAGCAAATGAATTTACCCACTCATCTTGACCATGTCGGTCATTAGCATGGATTATATGTTAGTCATTAGCTTTTATTATAAGAATTTAGAAAGAATTGAATGAGTTTTCATTAAAAACAATCTCAGAAACATGGTAAGCAATTAACAGTATCCTCCTGTGGTGATAAACATAAACTCCTGCTGGGAACTCATCACGTGCCAGGGATGCTCTCATGTGGTCCCACCTGAGGAATATTTGGCACATGTACCAGGGGTGTTCCAAGCATTTGCATGCAGACCCACCTTTGTTCCACTGTCAGAGGAAATAGTGGGTTCAATTAGCGAGTGCATATAGACCATGCACATCTAATGCCCATGTCACTCTGCTGTCCCAAGGTCAGATCCCTGCCAGCATGGATAGCACTCAACCCAAGCCAGCCTCAGTACAGAGTGACAGTGCAGCAAACGCTGAGTAGGCTTTTCCTTTTCACTCCTTGTCTGCTGGATGCTAACAATAGGCAGCTTGCCTACCAGGTGAGTCTCTTCCCAAGTGCAGTCCCTGACTCCTGAGAGCACAGTCTCAAAGCACCGTAAGAACAAAGGTATGAAAATTATGGCCACAGTAGCACAGAGGCTGCCCTGATTTTTCACTGTGTAATTCTTTACACCAGTGTTGTGAAAGTGATGCTGGCTGGGAACAGCGGGAGGTTGCTAACCACAGCCAGGTGACAGCTTTCTGCTTGGCAGAGCAAGAGCTGCTGAAGATCTTTGAGGAAGCAGGAACTGGGTTTGGTTTGAACACCACCTCATGTGTGAGGACAGGAAGCCACTGCAGTGCACTGTGCGGTCTCAGGGATGCCTGGGGGAAAACTCTACAATATCTAATTTGTGAGAAAAAAATAGCTGCTTTTCTCCCCACTGAATACGTCTTTATTTAAAAGATTGTCTATCATTGCTAAGATTTGAGAATTTGTCTGATAGTTTCTTAAAAATGAATGAATCCATCTTTTACTTCAAAGAAGGTGACACAATTTATAGTCAGTGACATTAGTGTTTTGTGATAAAAATTAGAAATTTTTGAAATTTGTGTCTGCCACCATGAGTTTGACAGTTTCTCAATATGCTTCGAAGATTTTTCTGATAAGATAATTTGTAACATTATCAAGAATATTACCAAGGGAAAAGGGGGTATTTGATAACATAAAGGCTCTGAATTTAACAACAAAAGCACAGTGTTATGGCTTGGGTCTAGATGTACCCCCAAAGCTTTGCATGGTCATAGGTGGGACTTTTGCAGAGATGGGTGGATGTAGAGTGTGAGACCCTGAGGTTGATTCATGGTGCAATGCTAGGATCAAGGGCCCAAGGACTAAATGTATGAGTATTACCCACCCTGAGAACCATGGATAAGATATAAGGGTTAGGAGGAATATAATCGCCCCTTGCTCACTTGCTTCTGCTTGCTATGAACTCCATGAACTGTTTCTCCTTTGCAGTTCTCCTCCACTATGTCATTCTGCCCTGGAGCCAGCTTACTTTGGACTGAAACCTCTGCAAATTGTGAGCTAAATAAACCTTTTCCCCTTTAATTCTGGGTGTAGGTATTTTGTCTTGACAATGAGAAAAGTGACTAAGACACATACTAATTTTTAATACATTAACAGAGTTTCAAAGTATATGAAGCTTAGATTGATGAAGATGCAATGACAAATAGACAAGCCCACAATTCTAGCTGAAGATTTATGCACATCCATCCTCAGAACAGATGGAACAAAATCAGAAAAGACAATAATCTCATCTTGGAGGACCTGAGTAGTAGCTGTGACTTAATAGACACTTAAAGAACATTTTTCTCAACAGTACTATATGGGTTCTTTTCAAAGTCACAAAGGACATTTAACAAGGTATAGCATATTCTCTGCCATGAAGCAGTCCTCAGCAAATTTGAATAGATTTGAGTCATACAAAGTGCATTGTCTAACCACAGTAATCCTTGGAGAAATTCTCAGACATTTGGAAGTTAAACAGAACACTTGTACACTCTCTATGGAACCGAAGAGGAAATATAAAGGGAGATGGAATGTAGTTTGAACTGCGTGAAAACTAAAACTAAAACAGCAATAGCAGCAACAAAACCCCAGCAACATATCCAAGTTCCCAGAAGGGCACCAAAGCAGTTATCAGAGGGAAATTCATAGCCCTAACCATTCTCCTTAAAAAAACAAAACAATGGCCTTAATCACTGATTGCAGCTTTAATCTTAAGGAACTAGACAAATATAAACAAAAAGAAGTCCAAAATAATCAGAATAATGTGGGTCCTTCCTGTTCCATGCACTCGAGTCTTAGAAGCCAGCCCTAGTGAAATCCGGCTTCTCTGTGGCATTCTGCTCCTGTTCTCTCAACTTTCTGATTCTCCTCTAGAGAACACCTTTCAAAAAATTATAAATCACTTGCATAAGAGTCCCCAGCTCAAGCTGTCTCAAGGGGATTTGAGCAAAACCATGGATTGCTCCGTACATGGGAGCCAGCTGGTGGCTGTGGAAGCTGGTATGATCAGGGTGCTGCTTACAGGGCCGTGGCTCAGATGCAGCTGAAGTGTGCTCTAAGGCCACAGGTGCTGACACTGGATTGTTGGTGGGGAATAAGAGGACAGAAATTAATCCTACTATGGTTTAGAGGCAGGGCCCCTGGGAAGGGATTGGCATTGAGTATGGTAACTGACTAGGAAGCCCATTGTTGAACCCTTGCAGCTTTGTAAATGGAACAGAGAGCAGGGGCACAAACACTCCCATCTCCTGCGGTGTGATGCCCTGCAGTGGACAAGACGCCACCATCTAAAGCCGCCCCTGCACCTCCAGAACCATGAGCAGGAGTAAACTTGCTTCTTTATAAGGGGCCCCAATCTATAGCATCACATTATTGGCAGCAGAATCTTGATTCACAGGCACAGCTTCCTGACAGCCACACCAAGGTCAACAGTATTTCCTCACTGTTCCCTTTAGCAAATCCTCCTGTTACTAAATAGCACTCTCCTGTCCCACCCCACACTATCAATCACCACATTCCTTCTCATCTCCCCCCTTTATCAGGCACAATTCTCTGCACTCAAGTTCCCCATGTCTGTTTTTAAAATGGTGAAATTGTCCCCAGGAGAACATCCATCTTTTGCCCTTTTATTTGTGATCTTTCTGCTCACTCTCGTCATTAGTCTGTTTTGTAAAGCAGCACACATGAAGTGAGAAATGCAAAGCCCACTGTCACGACACTATCACCATCAAATGAGAATTGTAAGCAGAAACCACCCCCAGCCTCTGGTTCTCACTAATCTGACTAAAGCAATTCACAGCATTTTCTGAATAAATTGCAGTCCACTGGAACTACCATTTGTCATATTAAAAGGTTATTTAATGAAATAATTAGAAGGCTATAATTACATTTTGCCCGATTTATTTCTTAAACATTAAAAGCATTAAAATATCAGATGACAGCATAAAAATAGGAAAAATATCTCTGCAGACCAATTTTGTTCCATACATTTAAAGCTTTAATATTAGCTGCTGTACTGAAAGGCATCAGTTCTGGAGTATCTGGAATTATTTGCACTGTATCTTAAAGTTCTACAAATAATGTAGCTGCACCATTGCTGATAAGTTACATCTCGAAACCAAGAGGCCAAAGGCTGAACGATACTGGCAGACAGGACTGCATGCAGCCTAAGTTGGCAAACACAGTCTTCCCAAAGCCAGCTCACTGGGCCTCCTACCTGAAGTCAGAGCCCACTCTTCTGCCATTCTCTGGAATCCCCGGGTCTGGGCACATGTCAGACGCTGAAGAGACGCCTCCTTGACTCACTGTAACAGAGAGGTACAGGGTTAGAATATTGCTTGATTGTTGGAAAAACATGCTGAGTAAATTCACAGGAGACATAGTCAGTTCCTTGTTCATTATGAATGAATGCCTGATTTCTTTAAGAACTAAGACACAAGTACTGATCTGATGGGAGAAGTAGCCAATGCTCAGAGAAGAAATAGCCCTCATCCATGCCCTGTGGGTAGGAATACACATGCCAAGTGCCCAGTGAGATCTGTGTGACAGAGATTGTGAATGGAACTGCTCCTGATGGTCTAAACGTGAAATGCACTTAGTATGGAACTAAGAGTAGGGAGTGTCTGTTTGTACATGTGCGCTCACTTACTTCTGAATCTCTCCCATGAGGAGCCAGTCTTTCTGCTGGAGTCTTCTCCAGCTCAGACAAACCTGCGGAAGGACCTGCTTCTGAGTAGATGGGGGGCTGCCACTCCTGTGTCTTTCCTCATCACCTCATTTGTATCACTCAGCCCAGGCAATCCCCTCTGTTCTTCAGGAAATGTGCTTCAGAGAAGGAGTGTAACTTGAGTCAGTTGAGGGTGGGGACACCCTGGGTGCTTCTGAGAACCTCATTCTGTGCCAACAGAGAATAGCCCTCCTTTCAACCTGCTCATGCCCACTGGGATGCCATCACTGGAATCCAAGGACAGAAGCCACTGTGTGGGTGCACTGGGAGAGGCACACTGAGAATCTGGATTCTCTCCGGTGTCAATGAGGCAGAAAATCGACCCGTGAAGTAGCTACTCGGAGCATGCAGTGCGGTAATCCATATAATTACAGTAGTTTAAAGACATTCAAAATAGGCAGTTACACTACTTGCAGGTGAAAAGGATATATAAATTCAAGACACTCAACAAACCCCATGTGAAAAGGATAAAGGAAGAGAGCTACAATAACACACATTCTAATCAAATTGTTGAAAGACAAAGAGGAAGAATCTTGACCGAGGAAAGAGAAGAACAAGTCACAAACTAGGAATGCTGAAGATTAGCAGCAGATTTCTCAGCAGAAATTGTGCACTTCCGAAGGCGGTGGGCTGACAGATCCAAATGCTGAAAGAGAAGAACTGCTAACTGAGAATTCTATACCTGCAAAACTTCCTTGCAACTGAGGAAGACTTCAAGGTATTTTCCATCAAAAGGAGAGCGAGTCACTGTCAGTAGACCTAGTCTACAGAAGGAATGCTGGAGACTCTTCACATCAAAGGAACATCAAACAGTAACCCAAAACTACATCAAAACTGAAAGATTTCCTGTAAAACTAAATACATGGAAAAGAATGAAAGTAGTGTTATACCAATTTTGCTTTAAGATCCACTTTCTCTTTAATGTATTTAAAAGATGAATACATAAAATTATATTTTATATTATTTATTTTATATTATTTATGCTTCTATTATTTATATTAATAGAAGCATAATACAGAGTTGAAATTTATAACGTCAATGCCAATAAAGTGATGAGGTAAAGAGTAACATTTTGGTATCTGATTAAAGTTGTTAGGGTTAATTTAAAATGTCATAATTTAGGATGTTATATGTAATTTCCAAGGCAACTGCAAAGAAAGTATCTATAGAATTTGCATAAAAATGAAAGAGACATAGCCGGGTGTGGTGGCTCATGCCTGTAATCCCAGCACTCTCAGGAGGCTGAGGTGGGAGGATCCTTGTGAATTTGAGACCAGCCTGGGCTACAAAGTGAGCTCAAGGCTAGTCTGAACTGCATAGCAAGACCCCGTCTCTAAAAAAGACAAAAAAAGAAAAAAGAGACCATGATGTGCTATTTTGAAACAATGACAACTAAATCACCAATGAAGAGACAAAGTGCCAGGCAGAGACACTGAGAGACAACAGGCCAGGGAGGTCCGCCTCCCTGACCACTAGAGAAATTACAGAGGGCTGAGCTCCCAGTTGCAGGCTGAGTCAAATTAACTTTGGTCTTTGGGGTGTGCCTGTATTCACACCAAGACCCTTGAAGTGAAATTCAGTTAAAGTCAAGCTGACAGGGTTCACCCAAGTACCTGAGGGTTGGTGACTTTATCAGAGACCTCGATGTCCTGGGCTCACAGAAGAGAAACCACCTGAGTACTCAGCCATGTGACCACCACCAGGTCAGGGATATGCTGCAGAAGAAACCAGCCTTGCCAACATTGTAGACCTACAACTTCCAAAGTGGTGACAAATAAATACCTATTTTCCAAGCCATGGGGTCTGTGACACTTTGCTATGGCAGCTAGGGACGTAAGGCACTCCTTAGCTGAAAGTCAGAGAGGCAAATTGGCTTAAATGCTAAACCTGTGCCCAGAAAGATCCAAGTCCATGGCATTCACTAGAGACTCACTATAGATCTGGAGACACACAGAGGTGGAAATGAGAGTGCATCAGATCTGCGGAGCCAGAAGGGAAGACACTGGTTTCTAGAATGAGACGAAGTGAAAAGAGAAACCATGTAGATGTTTGGGTGCAGGGCTTTGGCTGGGTATGATGAAGATACCTAGAGATGAGTGGTGATGGCAGATGCATAATAATGCAAATATGGCTGATGCCTCTGAATTGTAACTTTAGAATGTTAAAATTGCAGAATTCTGTATTGTATATACCTTATATTTCCTTCACTCTTCATGGATATAGATATCTCCATGTGAATATATGTCCACATAAACATACATCATTTAATATATTTCCATGTAAATATACACATATTTCCATATAAATATATATGTATATCCCCTTGGTGTTTTATAAATGGTCAGACAGGTAACTGACCAACCACCTGTGTATTTTATATCTTCCCCCATAGATATGTGGAGAGAAAGACAGAAACATAGATAGAGACATGGACAGGCACATATATGGAGACAGAGAAATGTAAGTGCAGACTTGGACAGACATGTAGAGACAGACATTACATGGAGATGAATACAAATCTAGTGTGTGACCATCAATGTATAAAGGTGAAAACACACATATAGAAGCACCACAAATCTGACAGCTCTTCTCTGACCCTGTGGCTCTGTGATCTGTGTCATGTGCTGGAATGAAGCTCCCGTGAACAGGCAGTTTTCTATCAGCAATGCTATAAAGATTGATCTCTGAGATACACTTAGACTTAGTAATTCTAACTATGGTGCAGAGTGTCATTTCCACCTGCTTCTCTCTGATAGCACCATCCAGGTGACTCAGTTCCCTCAAGGGAAACAGTTTCCACTGGTGTATGGCCGGAAGTTGTATACCTGAGTGTTCTTATATCACTATCCAGTAGAACTCAGACTGGTCTTCATCATAACAGCAAGGTGTTAAAAAGGTTCATTTGTACTTTTTGCCGTGTGTTTTGTCACACGGAATCATAGTGAGGAGAAAGAGAGAAACTGGAGGATTGCATCTATTTAAGTTTGGCTAAAACATTGTGGCTCCTGTTAAGGAGAAAGGCCAAATCACCTGCCTATGGAGGAACAGACGGGCAGCCGGAATTCTGTGAAAAGACGAATTGCATTAGACGGCACTTGCAGGACTAGAGATGGCAGAAGATGTCAGAAAAGGAAGAGACTTAAAACTCAAAGTCAGGGTGACTGTCCCAAGCAGAGATGAGTGGTTACTGCGACCAGATGGTGCGAGCACAGGTGACAAACAGGACATGGACAAGAAAACAGTAAAAAGCAAAACCCCCACTGCCTGTGGGGTCCACATTGTGGGTGAGTGAGCCCTTTGCAGAGTGAGGCTGCAGTGAAAGCCGTGCTTGCTGATCAGTCCCCGTCACACAGTGTCCCCAGGGCCAAAGAGGAACACTGTCAAGAGCGGGGAGATGCTGGGCTTAGTGACATTTAGCCAGGATTCTGCTGACCTTCCTATTTTCCAATCTCGTAAAACACATGAAACGCAAGGCTGGCTTCATTCAGAGCAAACTGCTGGCTGGGCCCCACCATGAAGGCAGCAGGTGAGGGGACAGTGGAAGTGGGAGCCCCTCGCCGTGCTGAGGGAAGCACAGCCTGCGCCTTCCAGGAGGTGGGGCTTCCCCAGTGAGGTGACCGCGGTGATTACAGGCAGGCTGCTCACACTGATTCTGCTGACAACCGTGAAGAAACTGAACACACACAGTTTGCTAGAGACTCAAGTTTCACTTACATATGTTTTTGCATCTAATGTATGCAACTCCTCCATTATGTGTTAATATTAAAGCCATCTTACTGGAAAACAAAGACAAAACAACCTGAGACCAGGCTATGACACAGTGGACAGCAAAACCCAGTCTCTTCCTACATGTCCCGCAGTGGCCTGGGGACATGTTAGTCTCATAGGCTGTGGAAACTAAGTAAGGTCTTGGTTAACAAGTTTGATTGTTTTAGAAGTGAAAAATATATTTTAAATGAAGATAACACACTTAATATAGTAAACATTAAAGAATTCAATTTATACTATTTCTACGTAAATACTGAAAGAGGCAAGTAAAGAAAAGTTATTCAGCAAAATGTAGAAGATTGCTGCTTACTCTTTGGTCTCTCATAGACCTTATGGACACAAAAATCAGAAAACACCTTGGAAATCTATAAAACATATTTAGCAAGCTTTGTATATACCTATGACCCGACACTTATGCAGCTAATAGATGCATACACTAAATTTTTAGAACTGCACAAATAAAGTTTTACGCATATCTGTGTGTATAATTTTTACACTATAATGAATTAACTAAAGCAAATTTTACATTAGGCCAAGAAAGAAATTACATCATAGAAGTTGGCAATTAAGGGAAGAATTTACAATCTTACATTTTTAATTTTCTTTTAAATGTTTGTTTTATTATATATTATTTCTGTGGTCATCCTTTTTTTGGTATATATCTGTGATATAGGATACATATACTCATCTAGGAATGAATTTGTACATACACATAGTACATTTTGATCCTTTTAGCTTCTCTTTTTCTCTCTCCTGTCTTCCTCCAATACAAGATCCCCTTCACCTCTCCACAAAGTCTACCTCGCAGTT